GTAGGTAAGTTTGAGAAACCGGCTCGAGATACACTTTTTGTTATATTCCATGGAATGCTCTTAACATCCCGATAGCAATGAATATCTGAAGTGCTTTGACAAAAAATCCATTAATAAATGTCATCTGTGGAAGCTGTAGTACTGTAAAAAGCACGACCAATCATCTGAGCCGGCCCGGCTAAAATAACTGGATGGCCTACCTGCCTGTCAGCCTTCCATCTGTGCACAAACTTATCTCGTGCCCTCATTGGTCATGTGCGCGTTCGTGTGTGTTGGAGGAGGGGCTCTGTGAGGAAGTGGCAGATTTTCTCCGGTTGTGTATTTTCAAATTCTAGCGCACTCGAGCTGGTTTCTCAAACTTACCTACCCCACCTTTAAGAGAGTGAGTGCCGCACTGACGTCACAAAATGACATTCAACTCAAGTGCATATTAATATATTTTATTACCATACAAGTATACACTTCAGTATTTAATCCAAATACAAAAAAACACAGGAAATAATGATACGCCGTCAGTTAATATTGTGCAGGTAGCAGTGTGTCTTTCAAGTAAATTCATTACGTTCAAGTCCAGCAGGCTCAGTGCACGTTTAATATATTTAATATTCAGTTAGTGGTACATATGCTCAGGGCTCCACAGCACACAGGGTTCAACAGAGAATACATATGTTTACACTCAGTTTAAATCACCTGGTTAGTAAAGGTGTGTGTGTCTGTGTGTGTGTGTGTGTGTGTGTGTGAGTGTGAGTGTGTGTATGTGTGTGTATGTCTGTGTGTGTTTGTGTGTGTCTGTGTGTCTGTGTGTGTGTGTGTGTGAGTGTGTGTGTGTATGTGTGTGTATGTGTGTGTATGTCTGTGTGTGTTTGTGTGTGTGTCTGTGTGTGTGTGTGTGTCTGTGCGTGTTTGTGTGTGTCTGTGTGTCTGTGTGTGTGTGAGTGTGAGTGTGTGTATGTGTGTGTATGTCTGTGTGTGTTTGTCTGTGTGTCTGTGTGTCTCTGTGTGTGTGTGTGTGAGTGTGTGTGTGTATGTGTGTGTATGTGTGTGTATGTCTGTGTGTGTCTGTGTGTCTGTGTGTCTGTGTGTGTGTGAGTGTGTGTGTGTATGTGTGTGTATGTGTGTGTATGTCTGTGTGTGTTTGTGTGTGTGTCTGTGTGTGTGTGTGTGTCTGTGTGTGTGTGTGTCTGTGCGTGTTTGCGTGTCTGTGTGTCTGTGTGTCTGTGTCTGTGCGCGTGTGTGTGTGTGCGTCTGTGTGTGTGTGTGCGTGCGCCTGTGTGTGTGTGTGTGTGTGCGTCTGTGTGTGTGTGTGCGTCTGTGTGTGTGTGTGCGTCTGTGTGTGTGTGTGCGTGCGCCTGTGTGTGTGTGTGTGTGTGTCTGTGCGCCTGTGTGTGCGTCTGTGTGTGTGTGTGTGCGTGCGCCTGTGTGTGCGTGTGTGTGTGTGTGTGTGTGTGTGTGTGTATAAACGCACCTTAACAGCATGTCAATGTGATATGAAGATGTGATATGCATGTGATCACCGCCTTCAGGGAGTCGGTGGGAGGAGCAGCACATAAACATACATTATCAAATCATGCCATATTCTTTTAACAAGTTATTTACCTCAAGAAATGATCACTAATATTGCTTATGTTTTAGAATTTCCTTTAAACCCCTTTTTGTTGTTATGTTTTGAAAGATCCTCTATAAATAAATGTAATTATTATTTATTTTAATTTACACTCTAAAGTTGTGACAGGATGGGATTTTAGATATTTCTCTCACCTTCAAATCCTTCACTTGTTAGTCAGGAGTTCATCGGTCTCTCTTGCAAAGGCAGTATTTAGACGTTATAATAAATACAAATGTTCTTATGACCAAATATCTTACTTCTACTCAAATGTTTGCAAAACTACATTTCCCAGAGGCTCAGAAAATGGTTGCAATCGTTTGATAACAGATTGAGTTTGAGTGATTTCTCCTCTCTGTCTCAGCCTCTCATCTGGAGATCTGATCACCATGGACTCTGAGGAACTCTTCTATATGCTCTGGATACTTTTAATACTGTTTTTAGACGTCTACTTTCTGGACACTTGTTCTTTGCATTTTCTTCATTATTCTTGGATGTCTCCAGAGCTGCTGCAAAGCGTCGACTCACATCAGAGAGACTGAAACATAATATAACCAGTTTGAATTTAAACGGACAAAACTAAACATTTAAAGACATTACTTTGGACTCTGAAACCATAACATTGAGACCATGAGAATCCATAATGAGAACGTCAGTGCTAAGGTCACACGATGCTACATAGTTTTAATCGTCTCTGTTCTTCAGCTTCTGTGTTGAGACGGAAACACTGCAACACAGACTCCAGGTTTTCCGTCTTCTCCTGCGCCGGATTTTTGGATTCACTTCTTGTGTCCCTTCAGTTGCCGGGCGAGAGTCTGCAGGGTGTCCCTCTGTTCGTACAGATACATCTAGTGTCCCACAGCATGTCCACCAGCACAGAGTCACTCACCTCGTCCAGCATCACCTCCTGAGACAGCTGAGGACTCAACCTGCAGGGAAGCACAGCTATCGGGTTAAAGGGGACATATGGTAACTCTTTAAAGAGTCCTCTCCTGCTGATGTCCAGGTGTATATCAGTATGTAGTGTCTCTACTTTAAAGAGTCCTCTCCTGCTGATGTCCAGGTGGTATATCAGTATGTAGTGTCTCTACTTTAAAGAGTCCTCTCCTGCTGATGTTCAGGTGTATATCAGTTATGTAGTGTGTCTCTACTTTAAAGAGTCCTCTCCTGCTGATGTTCAGGTGTATATCAGTATGTAGTGTCTCTACTTTAAAGAGTCCTCTCCTCCTGATGTTTCAGGTGTATATCAGTATGTAGTGTCTCTACTTAAAGAGTCCTCTCCTGCTGATGATCAGGTGTATATCAGTATGTAGTGTCTCTACTTTAAAGAGTCCGCTCCTGCTGATGTTCAGGTGTATATCAGTATGTAGTGTCTCTACTTTAAAGAGTCCTCTCCTGCTGATGTTCAGGTGTATATCAGTATGTAGTGTCTCTACTTTAAAGAGTCCTCTCTTGCTGATGTTCAGGTGTATATCAGTATGTAGTGTCTCTACTTTAAAGAGTCCTCTCCTGCTGATGATCAGGTGTATATCAGTATGTAGTGTCCTCTACTTTAAAGAGTCCTCTCCTGCTGATGATCAGGTGTATATCAGTATGTAGTGTCTCTACTTTAAAGAGTCCTCTCTTGCTGATGTTCAGGTGTATATCAGTATGTAGTGTCTCTACTTTAAAGAGTCCTCTCCTGCTGATGATCAGGTGTATATCAGTATGTAGTGTCTCTACTTTAAAGAGTCCTCTCCTGCTGATGTTCAGGTGTATATCAGTATGTAGTGTCTCTACTTTAAAGAGTCCTCTCCTGCTGATGTTCAGGTGTATATCAGTATGTAGTGTCTCTACTTTAAAGAGTCCTCTCTTGCTGATGTTCAGGTGTATATCAGTATGTAGTGTCTCTACTTTAAAGAGTCCTCTCCTGCTGATGATCAGGTGTATATCAGTATGTAGTGTCTCTACTTTAAAGAGTCCTCTCCTGCTGATGATCAGGTGTATATCAGTATGTAGTGTCCTCTACTTTAAAGAGTCCTCTCCTGCTGATGTTCAGGTGTATATCAGTATGTAGTGTCTCTACTTTAAAGAGTCCTCTCCTGCTGATGATCAGGTGTATATCAGTATGTAGTGTCTCTACTTTAAAGAGTCCTCTCCTGCTGATGTTCAGGTGTATATCAGTATGTAGTGTCTCTACTTTAAAGAGTCCTCTCCTGCTGATGTTCAGGTGTATATCAGTATGTAGTGTCTCTACTTTAAAGAGTCCTCTCCTGCTGATGTTCAGGTGTATATCAGTATGTAGTGTCTCTACTTTAAAGAGTCCTCTCCTGCTGATGTTCAGGTGTATATCAGTATGTAGTGTCTCTACTTAAAGAGTCCTCTCCTGCTGATGTTCAGGTGTATATCAGTATGTAGTGTCTCTACTTTAAAGAGTCCTCTCTGACCTGTGGTAGATGGTGTCGATCATCTCACACCAGGATCCGGCTCGATCCACCGCACATCCGTCAGAGTCAGTGCACTGAAACAGAGAGGATTCTGGGTAAAAGAAGGAACCAGAAATCTGTGTGTAACACTTTAAAGGTCACCTATTATGCTAAATCCTCTTCTATGTGTCCCCTCTTCTTCATGTCTCTTCTACATTCAACATGTGTCCCCTCTTCTTCATGTCTCTTCTACATCAACATGTGTCCCCTCTTCTTCATGTCTCTTCTACATCAACATGTGTCCCCTCTTCTTCATGTCTCTTCTACATCAACATGTGTCCCCTCTTCTTCATGTCTCTTCTTCATCAACATGTGTCCCCTCTCTTCATGTCTCTTCTACATCAACATGTGTCCCCTCTTCCTCATGTCTCTTCTACATCAACATGTGTCCCCTCTTCTTCATGTCTCTTCTACATCAACATGTGTCCCCTCTTCCTCATGTCTCTTTCTACATCAACATGTGTCCCCTCTTCTTCATGTCTCTTCTACATCACCATGTGTCCCCTCTTCCTTCATGTCTCTTCTTCATCACCATGTGTCCCCTCTTCTTCATGTCTCTTCTACATCAACATGTGTCCCCTCTTCTTCATGGTCTCTTCTACACCAACATGTGTCCCCTCTTCTTCATGTCTCTTCTACATCAACATGTGTCCCTCTTCTTCATGTCTCTTCTTCATCAACATGTGTCCCCCTCTTCCTCATGTCTCTTCTACATCAACATGTGTCCCCTCTTCTTCATGTCTCTTCTACATCAACATGTGTCCCCTCTTCTGCATGTCTCTTCTACATCAACATGTGTCCCCTCTTCCTTCATGTCTCTTCTTCATCAACATGTGTCCCCTCTTCTTCATGTCTCTTCTACATCAACATGTGTCCCCTCTTCCTCATGTCTCTTCTACATCAACATGTGTCCCCTCTTCTTCATGTCTCTTCTACATCAACATGTGTCCCCTCTTCCTCATGTCTCTTCTACATCAACATGTGTCCCCTCTTCTTCATGTCTCTTCTACATCACCATGTGTCCCCTCTTCTTCATGTCTCTTCTTCATCACCATGTGTCCCCTCTTCTTCATGTCTCTTCTACATCAACATGTGTCCCCTCTTCTTCATGTCTCTTCTACACCAACATGTGTCCCCTCTTCTTCATGTCTCTTCTACATCAACATGTGTCCCCTCTTCTTCATGTCTCTTCTTCATCAACATGTGTCCCCTCTTCCTCATGTCTCTTCTACATCACCATGTGTCCCCCTCTTCTTCATGTCTCTTCTACATCAACATGTGTCCCCTCTTCCTCATGTCTCTTCTACATCAACATGTGTCCCCTCTTCTTCATGTCTCTTCTACATCACCATGTGTCCCCTCTTCTTCATGTCTCTTCTTCATCACCATGTGTCCCCTCTTCTTCATGTCTCTTCTACATCAACATGTGTCCCCTCTTCTTCATGTCTCTTCTACACCAACATGTGTCCCCTCTTCTTCATGTCTCTTCTACATCAACATGTGTCCCCTCTTCTTCATGTCTCTTCTTCATCAACATGTGTCCCCTCTTCCTCATGTCTCTTCTACATCACCATGTGTCCCCTCTTCTTCATGTCTCTTCTACATCAACATGTGTCCCCTCTTCCTCATGTCTCTTCTACATCAACATGTGTCCCCTCTTCTTCATGTCTCTTCTACATCAACATGTGTCCGGGTAAACTGTGTGTGTGCGTGGGGAGTGTTGCAGTAGAACATTCCTCTGTAGCGCCCGGTACATTAATGGGAAACCCTAAATGTTTGAGCACCCTCTATGAAACATCAAGCTACCCCACAGCACCCCCATAATAAATCTCTGGCGCCACCACTGAGCCTGCGACCCCGTTCTGAAGAGATGTGCCAAACAGGCTCATTGCAGACACTAATGATAAGACACACTTTGCTGCCCAATATTTTATTTCTTTTCATTTGTTTGCACAGATTGCAAAGTGGCAAAGTCTTATAACTTATGGTTCTAGCAGAGGGATTGCACAAATGTATTATGTATTGTTTTTTTGAGCACACAGACTTATGGAGCATTGTTTTATTATCACTGTTCTAGCAAAGGAATGCACACGTTCATATTGATGTATTTTAATAAATGTTAACTTGGCCCATTACGTGACTATTTGTGTTGGGGGGGGGGGGGGGGGGGGGCCGACTTTTTTTTCTCCAAAGGGGCCTGACGGAAAAAGATTGAGAACCACTAAAAGTAACGGACAGAGAATCAGCACTTTGGAAACAGGGCTGAAACAGAGGGGATTATGGGTAATGCTGCAATGATCTGTTTGGTGTTTCAGCCAATCAGAGACAGGCTCTGTATATATCTGAGACCTGTGATATATTGATGAAGAAGAGGATAACAGGGGACCTTTAACCCTCTGGATGTACTCACACAGTCCACCAGCATCTTGCCCAGCTCTTTGGCTCCCACAAAGCTCTTTGCAAACTCCAGAGGGTTGGAGGGCCGGAAAACATCCACCGAGTTCACGACCACCTGGGGGGGTTTACCTGCAGACCCACACTCAGGAAGTTATTCATACAGCATCTCTCAGCACAAGGCAATTCAAAGTGCAATTCAACCTTTTGGATTTATGTGAATGTCACAAGAAATATAAAATCCTGCATGTTGATATAAAGGGTCTCACCTGTACCGAGGGAGACCACCACCCCCAGCTTCTGGATCTCCTGCGCACGGCCCTGAGAGGAAGAGACAGATATTTCAATATTAGAATAAAAACATCTAAGCTTTAAAAGATCCATAAAGAAAGGAGGAGTGGAGTCCGTTCCCCACCTCTGCTTTCAGAGCTTTGTTGTACTGATGGATTTCCGTCATGGCGTCCAGCGTGGGGTTGTTGGCGAGGAGCCCGCCGTCCAGGAAGCGTCCCATTGGTCGGAAATACGTGGGGGCGGCGCCACTGGATCGGGCGGCGCGCCACACCAGCTGCTCTGAGAAACACAACGACAGGAAATATTAAACACACACACACACACACACACACACACACACACACACACACACACACACACACACACACACACACACACACACACACACACACACACACACACCACACACACACACACACACACACACACACACCACACACACACACACACACACACACACACACACACACACACACACACACACACACACACACACACACACACACACACACACACACACACACACACACACACACACACACACACACCTTCATCAGTCACCTTCCTACGCTTTCTGGCGGGCTCCTCTGTGTATCCCACTACCAACACATCCTCATCCTCCCATCCTGCAACAACAACATGGCCGCCACTCAGACACAACACAAAGGCTTCAGAAACTCTTTTTGCTGCTATCGAACACAAGCCCAGAAACCATTCAAGTGCTTTCCCCAGTGGTAGAACCGATGCACTGCACCACCAATGTTACACCCGTGTCATACGAAGTAATGCAATGATGTTTTTTGTGTTGGTCCCTGAAGGCAGCATCTCCATGGTCCAATGGGATTACTCCATGTGATTTTGGATTATTGTAGAATATAATCTCTTTGTCAAACAAACGTTTATGATATTTAAATGTTTAGTTGAGCAGGATAATCTCAACATATTAACATCACATTATGATTTCTGAAGTAAAAATCTAATGTTGGGCTATAAAGGAACTACAGCACGGTCACATGACTTCACTTCACCACCGCTAAGCTAAAGGCGGCTAATGTTGGGCTATAAAGGAACTACAGCACGGTCACATGACTTCACGTCACCACCGCTAAGCTAAAGGCGGCTAATGTTGGGCTATAAAGGAACTTCAGCACGGTCACATGACTTCACGTCACCACCGCTAAGCTAAAGGTGGCTAATGGTTGGGCTATAAAGGAACTACAAGCACGGTCTACATGACTTCAACGTCACCACCGCTAAGCTAAAGGAGGCTATGTTGGGCGATAAAGGAACTCAAAAAGGCACGGTCACCATGGACTTAACGTGCAAACCTAACGCTAAGCTAAAGGAGGCTAAGAGTTGGGCTATAAAGGTACTACAGGACACGGTCACATGACTTCAGCGTCACCAACCGCTAAGCTAAAGGATGGCTAATGTGGTTGGCTATAAAGGAACTACAAAGCACGGTCACATGACTTCACGTCACCACCGCTAAAGCTAAGAGTGAGCCTAATGTTTGGGCTATAAAAGGAACTACAGCACGGTCACATGACCTTCACGTCACACCGCTAAGCTAAAGGCAGGGCTAATGTGGGGCTATAAAGGAACTACAGCAGCAGCGGTCACATGACTTCACGGCACCACCGCTAAAGCTAAAGGAGGCTAATGTTGGGGCAATAAAGGGAACTACAGCAACGGGTCACCATGACTTCACGTCACCACCGCTAAGCTAAGGAGGCTAATGTTGGGCTATAAAAAGGAACTACAAAGGCACCGGTCACCATGACTTCACGTCACCACCGCTAAAGCTAAAGGCGGCTAATGTTGGGCTATAAAGGAACTTACAGCACGGTCACATGACTTCACGTCAACCACCGCTAAAGCTAAAGGCGGCTAATGTTGGGCTATAAAGGAACTACAGCACGGTCACATGACTTCACTTCACCCACCGCTAAGCTAAAGGCGAGGCTAATGTTGGGCTATAAAGGAACTACAGCACGGTCACATGACTTCACGTCACCACCGCTAAGCTAAAGGAGGCTAATGTTGGGGCATAAAGGAACTACAGCACGGTCACATGACTTCACGTCACCACCGCTAAGCTAAAGGCGGCTAATGTTGGGCTATAAAGGAACTACAGCACCGGTCACATGACTTCACGTCACCACCGCCTAAGCTAAAAGGATGCTAATGTTGGGCTATAAAGGAACTTCAGCACGGTCACATGACTTCACGTCTTCCACCGCTAAGCTAAAGGTGGCTAATGTTGGGCTATAAAGGAACTACCAGCACGGTCACATGACTTCACGTCACCACCGCTAAGCTAAAGGAGGCTAATGTTGGGCTATAAAGGAACTACAGCACAGTCACATGACTTCACGTCACCACCGCTAAGCTAAAGGTGGCTAATGTTGGGCTATAAAGGAACTCCAGCACGGTCACATGACTTCACGTCACCACCAGCTAAGCTAAGGTGGCTATGTTGGGCTATAAAGGAACTACAGCACGGTCACATGACTTCACGTCACCACCGCTAAGCTAAAGGAGGCTAATGTTGGGGACTAATAAAGGAACTACAGCACGGTCACATGACTTCACGTCACCACCGCTAAGCTAAAGGTGGCTAATGTTGGGCTATAAAGGAACTACAGCACGGTCCATGACTTCACGTCACCACCGCTAAGCTAAAGGAGGCTAATGTTGGGCTATAAAGGAACTACAGCACGGTCACATGACTTCACGTCACCACCGCTAAGCTAAAGGAGGCTAATGTTGGGCTATAAAGGAACTACAGCACGGTCACATGACTTCACGTCACCACCGCTAAGCTAAAGGTGGCTAATGTTGGGCTATAAAGGAACTACAGCACGGTCACATGACTTCACGTCACCACCGCTAAGCTAAAGGAGGCTAATGTTGGGCTATAAAGGAACTACAGCACGGTCACATGACTTCACGTCACCACCGCTAAGCTAAAGGAGGCTAATGTTGGGCTATAAAGGAACTACAAAAGCGCGGTCACATGACTTCACGTCACTACCGCTAAGCTAAAGGCGGCTAATGTTGGGCTATAAAGGAACTACACAGCGCGGTCACATGACTTCACGTCACCACCGCTAAGCTAAAGGCGGCTAATGTTGGGCTATAAAGGACTACAGCACGGTCACATGACTTCACGTCACCACCGCTAAGCTAAAGGAGGCTAATGTTGGGCTATAAAGGAACTACAGCACGGTCACATGACTTCACGTCACCACCGCTAAAGCTAAAGGTGGCTAATGTTGGGCTATAAAGGAACTACAGCACGGTCACATGACTTCACTTCACCACCGCTAAGCTAAAGGCGGCTAATGTTGGGCTATAAAGGAACTACAGCACGGTCACATGACTTCACGTCACCACCGCTAAGCTAAAGGAGGCTAATGTTGGGGCATAAAGGAACTACAGCACGGTCACATGACTTCACTTCACCACCGCTAAGCTAAAGGCGGCTAATGTTGGGCTATAAAGGAACTACAGCACGGTCACATGACTTCACGTCACCACCGCTAAGCTAAAGGCGGCTAATGTTGGGCTATAAAGGAACTTCAGCACGGTCACATGACTTCACGTCTTCACCGCTAAGCTAAAGGTGGCTAATGTTGGGCTATAAAGGAACTACAGCACGGTCACATGACTTCACGTCACCACCGCTAAGCTAAAGGAGGCTAATGTTGGGCTATAAAGGAACTACAGCACGGTCACATGACTTCACGTCACCACCGCTAAGCTAAAGGTGGCTAATGTTGGGCTATAAAGGAACTACAGCACGGTCACATGACTTCACGTCACCACCGCTAAGCTAAAGGTGGCTAATGTTGGGCTATAAAGGAACTACAGCACGGTCACATGACTTCACGTCACCACCGCTAAGCTAAAGGAGGCTAATGTTGGGCTATAAAGGAACTACAGCACGGTCACATGACTTCACGTCACCACCGCTAAGCTAAAGGAGGCTAATGTTGGGCTATAAAGGAACTACAGCACGGTCACATGACTTCACGTCACCACCGCTAAGCTAAAGGAGGCTAATGTTGGGCTATAAAGGAACTACAGCACGGTCACATGACTTCACGTCACCACCGCTAAGCTAAAGGTGGCTAATGTTGGGCTATAAAGGAACTACAGCACGGTCACATGACTTCACGTCACCACCGCTAAGCTAAAGGTGGCTAATGTTGGGCTATAAAGGAACTACACAGCACGGTCACATGACTTCACGTCACCACCGCTAAGCTAAAGGAGGCTAATGTTGGGCTATAAAGGAACTACAGCACGGTCACATGACTTCACGTCACCACCGCTAAGCTAAATGTGGCTAATGTTGGGCTATAAAGGAACTACAGCACGGTCACATGACTTCACGTCACCACCGCTAAGCTAAAGGAGGCTAATGTTGGGCTATAAAGGAACTACAGCACGGTCACATGACTTCACGTCACCACCGCTAAGCTAAAGGAGGCTAATGTTGGGCTATAAAGGAACTACAGCGCGGTCACATGACTTCACGTCACTACCGCTAAGCTAAAGGCGACTAATGTTGGGCTATAAAGGAACTACAGCACGGTCACATGACTTCACATCACCACCGCTAAGCTAAAGGAGGCTAATGTTGGGCTATAAAGGAACTACAGCACGGTCACATGACTTCACGTCACCACCGCTAAGCTAAAGGAGGCTAATGTTGGGCTATAAAGGAACTACAGCACGGTCACATGACTTCACGTCACCACCGCTAAGCTAAAGGAGGCTAATGTTGGGCTATAAAGGAACTACAGCACGGTCACATGACTTCACGTCACCACCGCTGTATTGCTTAGTGGTTACCTGTGCATTAGACCAGCAGGTGTGTCAGTACCTTGAGGGACGGTGAGGGGTTTGAAGGTGGCTGTGGTCTTGTAGGGGGGGTCTCTGTGGGAGGAGGGGGGGTCGTAGTTCCTGAAGATGTGCAGCTCTCCTGGATGTCTGTCTGCTAAAACACTGGTCACCATCACCCTGCACACAAACACACATTAAATGTCCCCTATGGAGGAGATTCAGGTGATAAGGGGGGGGGGGGGGGTTACCTTGGTTGCTGATTGGCTAATGGTTACACAAGCCAAAACATCGTTATGACATCATAAAGTGGACAAAATCTGATCAGCTCATTTCAGACAGGTTTTTATAGAAATGGATCAAAAAGAGAGAGAATCTTTGTTCCTGAAACTTTCAGAGTCTCTTTACACAGAGGGGACACATGTTGATGTAGAAGAGACATGAAGAAGAGGGGACACATGTTGATGAAGAAGAGACATGAAGAAGAGGGGACACATGTTGATGAAGAAGAGACAATGAAGAAGAGGGACACATGTTGATGAAGAAGAGACATGAAGAAGAGGGGACACATGTTGATGTAGAAGAGACATGAAGAAGAGGGGACACATGTTGATGAAGAAGAGACATGAAGAAGAGGGGACACATGTTGATGAAGAAGAGACATTGATAGAAGAGGGGACACATGGTGAGTAGAAGAGACATGAAGAAGAGGGGACACATGTTGATGTAGAAGAGACATGAAGAAGAGGTGGACACATGTTGATGAAGAAGAGACATGAAGAAGAGGGACACATGTTGATGAAGAAGAGACATGAAGAAGAGGGGACAACATGTTGATGTAGAAGAGACATGAAGAAGAGGGGGACACATGTTTGATGTAGAAGAGACATGAAGAAGATGGGACACATGTTTGATGAAGAAGAGACATGAAGAAAGAGGGGAACCATGTTGATGAAGAAGAGACATGAAGAAGAGGGGACATATGTTGATGTAGAAGAGACATTGAAGAAGAGGGGACACATGTTGATGAAGAAGAGACATGAAGAAGAGGGGGACACATGTGTGATGTAGAAGAGACATGAAGAAGAGGGGACACATGTTGATGTAGAAGAGACATGAAGAAGAGGGGACACATGGTGATGTAGAAGAGGACATGAAGAAGAGGGGACACATGGTGATGTAGAAGAGACATGAAGAAGAGGGACACATGGTGATGAAGAAGAGACATGAAGAAGAGGGGACACATGTTGATGTAGAAGAGACATGAAGAAGAGGGGACACATGTTGATGTAAAGAGACTGAAGAAGAGGGGGACACATGTTGATGTAGAAGAGACATGAAGAAGAGGGGACACATGTTGATGTAGAAGAGACATGAAGAAGAGGGGACACATGGTGATGAAGAAGAAGAACATGATAGAAGAGGGGACACATGTTGATTGTAGAAGAGACATGAAGAAGAGGGGACACATGGTTGATTGTAGAAGAGACATGAAGAAGAGGGGACACATGTGATGTAGAAGAGACATGAAGAAGAGGGGAGACGTGTTGATGTAGAAGAGACATGAAGAAGAGGGGACACATGTTGATGTAGAAGAGACATGAGAGGAGGGGACACATGTTGATGTAGAAGAGACATGAAGAAGAGGGGACACATGCTGATGAAGAAGAGACATGAAGAAGAGGGGACACATGTTGATGTAGAAGAGACATGAAGAAGAGGGGACACATGTTGATGTAGAAGAGACATGAAGAAGAGGGGACACATGTGATGTAGAAGAGACATGAAGAAGAGGGGACACATGTTGATGTAGAAGAGACATGAAGAAGAGGGGACACATGTTGATGTAGAAGAGACATGAAGAAGAGGGGGACACATGTGATGATGGTAGAAGAGGACATGAAGGAAGAGGGGGACACATGTTGATGTAGAAGAGACATGAAGAAGAGGGGACACATGTTGATGTAGAAGAGACATGAAGAAGAGGGGACACATGTTGATGGTAGAAGAGACATGAAGAAGAGGGGACACATGTTGATGTAGAAGAGACCATTGAAGAAGAGGGGACACATGTTGATGTAGAAGAGACATGAAGAAGAGGGGACACATGTTGATGAAGAAGAGACATGAAGAAGAGGGACACATGTTGATGATAAAGAAGAGACATGAAGAAGAGGGGACACATGTTGATGTAGAAGGACATGAAGAAGAGGGGACACATGTTGATGTAGAAGAGACATGAAGAAGAGGGGACACATGTTGATGTAGAAGAGACATGAGAAGAGGGGACACCATGTTGATGTAGAAGAGACATGAAGAAGAGGGGGGACACATGTTGATGTAGAAGAGACATGAAGAAGTAGGGGACACATGAATTGATGTAGAAGAGACATGAAGAAGAGGGGACACATGTTGATGTAGAAGAGACATGAAGAAGAGGGGACACATGGTGATGAAGAAGAGACATGAAGAAGAGGGGACACATGTGATGTAGAAGAGGACATGAGAAGAGGGGACACATGTTGATTGTAGAAGAGACATGAAGAAGAGGGGACACATGTTGATGTAGAAGAGACATGAAGAAGAGGGGACACATGTTGATGTAAGAAGAGGACATGCAAGACGAGGGGGACACATGGTGACTGTAGAAGAGACATGAAGAAGAGGGGGGACACATGTTGATGTAGAAGAGACATCGAAGGAAGAGTGGGGACACATGTTGATGTAGAAGAGACATGAGAAGAGGAGGACACATGTTGATGTAGAGAGAAATGAAGAAGAGGGGGGGACACAGTTGTGATGAAATAGACATGAAGAAGAGGGACACATGTGATGTAGAAGAGACAGACGAGAGGGCCAACATGTTGATGTAGAAGAGACATGAAGAAGAGGGGACACATGTGATGTAGAAGAGACATGAAGAAGAGGGGAACACATGTTGATGTAGAAGAGACATGAAAGAAGAGGGGACACATGTTGATGAAGAAGAGACATGAAGAAGAGGGGACACATGTTGATGTAGAAGAGACATGAAGAAGAGGGGACACATGTTGATGTAGAAGAGACATGAAGAAGAGGGGACACATGTTGATGTAGAAGAGACATGAAGAAGAGGATTTTGCATAATAGGTGACCTTTAAAATAATACCTGGGGTATCGCACGTCTGCCATCTTGGTGTTTTCTCCGAACTCCTTCTTCAGGAAGTCTTCCAGCGGAGCCGACTCGTACGGCCGGGAGCCCCGAAACACCTGCTCCTTCATCCTGAAGTACAGGCAGCGCAGGTACTCCATCGACTTACCTGCACACACACACACACACACACACACACACACACACACACACACACACAACACACACACACACACACACACACACACACACACACACACCACACACACACACACACACACACACACACACAACACACACACACACACACACACACACACACACACACACACCACACACACACACACACACCACACAACACACACACACCACACCACACACACACACACACACACACACACACACACACACACACCACACACACACACACACATTAAGTTTTGATTCTCATTCTGGTTCTGGTTTTCTGGTTCTTATTCTGTGTTTGGTTTGATTCATTCTGGTACTGGTTCTGATTCTAGTTCTGGTTTTTGTGTTGTTTGTGGTTGTGGTTCTGACCGTGGACGATGGCGAGGGCCAGGATGCCCCCGGTGCTGGTTCCTGCCACCCAGTCGAAGAGCTCTCTGGTGGGCCGGCCCGCCTCCCTCTCCAGAGCGATCAGCATCTGGATCAGAACCAGACCTTTGATCCCGCCGCCGTCCAGACACAGCAGCCGGTCCAGCCTAAAGAGGGGGGGGGGGGTAAGAAATCTTACTTTTTTCTGAAAAACTTAAAATTCAGATTTCTTTCTGAAATATGATCTCTGATATAAAGTCATCGTATACAATGCTGCTAGAGCTGAACCAGAAGAACTGAGACATCAGCGTTTAAACGGCGGGCCTTCATAATAATAATATTATTATCATTCCATAATAGTGTTTCTCTGCTGGGAAATAACCATGAAGAAGAAGATCACTCACTTCCTGTTCTGCTCTCTGGACCCGTCCCCTTCAGAGGATCCTCTGCTCAGCGCACTGAGAGCAGCCCCCGCTAACATGACGTCCTCAAACCCTGCACACACCACAACACACATTTATATCTAACACACACCTGGATATCTGACCCACACACACCTGGATATCTGACCCACACACACCTGGATATCTGACCCACACACACCTGGATATCTGACCAACACACACCTGGATATCTGACCCACACACACCTGGATATCTGACCCACACACACCTGGATATCTGACCCACACACACCTGGATATCTGACCCACACACACCTGGATATCTGACCCACACACACCTGGATATCTGACCCACACACACCTGGATATCTGACCAACACACACCTGGATATCTGACCAACACACACACCTGGATATCTGACCCACACACACCTGGATATCTGACCAACACACACCTGGATATCTGACCCACACACACCTGGATATCTGACCCACACACACCTGGATATCTGACCCACACACACCTGGATATCTGACCCACACACACCTGGATATCTGACCCACACACACCTGGATATCTGACCACACACACCTGGATATCTGACCCACACACACCTGGATATCTGACCAACACACACCTGGATATCTGACCAACACACACACCTGGATATCTGACCCACACACACCTGGATATCTGACCAACACACACCTGGATATCTGACCCACACACACACCTGGATATCTGACCCACACACACCTGGATATCTGACCGACACATACCTGGATATCTGACCCACACACACCTGGATATCTGACCCACACACACATGGATATCTGACCGACACACCTGGATATCTGACCCGCACACACCTGGATATCTGACCCACACACACCTGGATATCTGACCCGCACACACCTGGATATCTGACCGACACATACCTGGATATCTGACCCACACACACCTGGATATCTGACCCACACACACCTGGATATCTGACCCACACACACCTGGATATCTGACCCACACACACCTGGATATCTGACCGACACACACCTGGATATCTGACCCACACACACCTGGATATCTGACCCACACACACCTGGATATCTGACCGACACACACCTGGATATCTGACCCACACACACCTGGATATCTGACCGACACACACCTGGATATCTGACCCACACACACCTGGATATCTGACCCACACACACCTGGATATCTGACCCACACACAACCTGGGATATCTGACCCACACACACACCTGGATATCTGACCCACACACACCTGGATATCTGACCGACACACACCTGGATATCTGACCCACACACACCTGGATATCTGACCGACACACACCTGGATATCTGACCCACACACCTGGATATCTGACCGACACACACCTGGATATCTGACCCACACACACCTGGATATCTGACCCACACACACCTGGATATCTGACCCACACACCTGGATATCTGACCCAGACACACCTGGATATCTGACCCACACACACCTGGATATCTGACCCACACACACCTGGATATCTGACCCACACACACATTGACAAGTATCTTTCCCCAGTACACGTGATATTTGCTGGAAAACAGCAAAAAACAGAGAGATTTAGATGTATAGTAATAAACAGAGCACAGGTGTTTTTTTTTTGGGGGGGGGGGGTCAGCTGTTACCTATGCCAGGTGTTTTGGTCTTGACGAGGAGGGGGGGCGGGCTGCCGGGGGAGGGGGGGTGGCAGCGCGTGCAACCCCTACACTACACAGCATGTCCAGCAGGATCTTTCTAGTAGGACCTTCATGTTAACACGGGTTAGACACACACACACACACACACACACACACACAGCACACACCATCACACACACACACACACACACACACACACACACACACACACACACACACACACACACACACACACACACACACACCACACACACCACACACACACACACACACCATCACAGCACACACACACACACACACCCACACCACACACACACACACACACACCACACACACACACACACACACACACCACCCACACACACCACACACACACCACACACCACACACACACACACACACAGCACACACACACCACACACACACACACACACACACACACCAATCAGCTGTTATCAAACACCATTCATCCTAAATACATCCATTAAGGTCACAATCAAATCAGAAACAACAAATATACTCTTGCTATAGAAACATATTAAGTTAATGTTATCCATGCAATCCCTTTCATAACGCTGGCATTATAACTAAACTAGTTTCATTATTAAATATTGTGCAGATGATTTGCAGAGATATACACTTTAATATAGAACAGAGACAAGCAACCATCTAGTCTTTTTAAACACGATCCGATGACTGAAAACACTTTTGGAGACATTTTAAATAAAAATATCTAGCATTAAGTGATTTTGTTTAAATATCACAATGGTAGTTTGTGTTTCAGAGTGTTAAAGCAATCTAATTAAATACAACTATTCCCCCTGTAGTTATTGTTAAATCCATCATCCTGCCCTCTGCTGTTCAGAAGGAGAAACAGCGGAGCAGTTGATTGCAATTTATAAACAACTCACTGACCAGACATTTATTTTGTTTTGAAACCTCTTATCCATTTCCCTCTTCTCTAGACACTTTTATTTATTGATCTCACACTATCTCTATAGTTACATCTTGCTTATTGACCCTTTTACAGACACTTCATGCATGTTGTGACAAGACACTAGTGATTATTTTAAAGTCAGAACACACCTTTGGTTTTCCATGCAGCAGCTTTAGTGGAAGCATTAGTGTTTAGTGTCTCTACTTTAAAGAGTCCTCTCCTGCTGATGTTCAGGTGTATATCAGTATGTAGTGTCTCTACTTTAAAGAGTCCTCTCCTGCTGATGTTCAGGTGTATATCAGTATGTAGTGTCTCTACTTTAAAGAGTTCTCTCCTGCTGATGTTCAGGTGTATATCAGTATGTAGTGTCTCTACTTAAAGAGGTCCTCTCCTGCTAATGTTCAGGGTGTATATCAGGTATGTAGTGTCTCTACTTTAAAGAGTCCTCTCCTGCCTGATGTTCAGGTGTACTCAGTATGTAGTGTCTCTACTTTAAAAGAGTTCTCTCCTGCTGATGTTCAGGTGTATATCAGTAATGTAGTGTCTCTACTTTAAAGAGTCCTCTCCTGCTAATGTTCAGGTGTATATATCAGTAGGTAGTGTCTCTACTTTAAAGAGTCCTCTCCTGCTGATGTCAGGTGTATATCAGTCGGTAGTGTCTCTACTTTAAAGAGTCCTCTCCTGCTGATGTTCAGGTGTATATCAGTATGTAGTGTCTCTACTTTAAAGAGTCCTCTCCTGCTGATGTTCAGGTGTATATCAGTATGTAGTGTCTCTACTTTAAAGAGTCCTCTCCTGCTGATGTTCAGGTGTATATCAGTATGTAGTGTCTCTACTTTAAAGAGTCCTCTCCTGCTGATGTTCAGGTGTATATCAGTATGTAGTGTCTCTACTTTAAAGAGTCCTCTCCTGCTGATGTTCAGGTGTATATCAGTATGTAGTGTCTCTACTTTAAAGAGTCCTCTCCTGCTGATGTTCAGGTGTATATCAGTATGTAGTGTCTCTACTTTAAAGAGTCCTCTCCTGCTGATGTTCAGGTGTATATCAGTATGTAGTGTCTCTACTTTAAAGAGTCCTCTCCTGCTGATGTTCAGGTGTATATCAGTATGTAGTGTCTCTACTTTAAAGAGTCCTCTCCTGCTGATGTTCAGGTGTATATCAGTATGTAGTGTCTCTACTTTAAAGAGTCCTCTCCTGCTGATGTTCAGGTGTATATCAGTATGTAGTGTCTCTACTTTAAAGAGTCCTCTCCTGCTGATGTTCAGGTGTATATCAGTATGTAGTGTCTCTACTTTAAAGAGTCCTCTCCTGCTGATGTTCAGGTGTATATCAGTATGTAGTGTCTCTACTGTAAAAGAGTCCTCCTGCTGATGTTCAGGTGTATACAGTATGTAGTGGTCTCTACTTTAAAGAGTCTCTCCTGCTGATGTTCAATGGTGTATATCAGTATGTAGTGTCTCTACTTTAAGAGTCCTCTCCTGCTGATGTTCAGTGTATATCAGTATGTAGTGTCTCTACTTAAAGAGTCCTCTCCTGCTGATGTTCAGGTGTATATCAGTATGTAGTGTCTCTACTTTAAAGAGTCCTCTCCTGCTGATGTTCAGGTGTATATCAGTATGTAGTGTCTCTACTTTAAGAGTCCTCTCCTCTGATGTTCAGTGGGTATATCAGTATGTAGTGTCTCTACTTTAAAGAGTCCTCTACTGCTGATGTTCATGTGTATATCAGTAGTAGTGTCTCTACTTTAAAGAGGTCCTCTCCTGCTGATGTTCGGTGTATATCAGTATGTAGTGTCTCTACTTTAAAGAGTCCTCTCCTGCGATGTTCAGGTGTATATCAGTAGTGTAGTGTCTCTACTTTAAAGAGTCCTCTCCTGCTGATGTTCAGGTGTATATCAGTATGTAGTGTCTCTACTTTAAAGAGTCCTCTCCTGCTGATGTTCAGGTGTATATCAGTATGTAGTGTCTCTACTTTAAAGAGTCCTCTCCTGCTGATGTTCAGGTGTATATCAGTATGTAGTGTCTCTACTTTAAAGAGTCCTCTCCTGCTGATGTTCAGGTGTATATCAGTATGTAGTGTCTCTACTTTAAAGAGTCCTCTCCTGCTGATGTTCAGGTGTATATCAGTATGTAGTGTCTCTACTTTAAAGAGTCCTCTCCTGCTGATGTTCAGGTGTATATCAGTATGTAGTGTCTCTACTTTAAAGAGTCCTCTCCTGCTGATGTTCAGGTGTATATCAGTATGTAGTGTCTCTACTTTAAAGAGTCCTCTCCTGCTGATGTTCAGGTGTATATCAGTATGTAGTGTCTCTACTTTAAGAGTCCTCTCCTGCTGATGTTCAGGTGTATATCAGTATGTAGTGTCTCTACTTTAAAGAGTCCTCTCCTGCTGATGTTCAGGTGTATATCAGTATGTAGTGTCTCTACTTTAAAGAGTCCTCTCCTGCTGATGTTCAGGTTATATCAGTATGTAGTGTCTCTACTTTAAAGAGTCCTCTCCTGCTGATGTTCAGGTGTATATCAGTATGTAGTGTCTCTACTTAAAGAGTCCTCTCCTGCTGATGTTCAGGTGTATATCAGTATGTAGTGTCTCTACTTTAAAGAGTCCTCTCCTGCTGATGTTCAGGTGTATATCAGTATGTAGTGTCTCTACTTTAAAGAGTCCTCTCCTGCTGATGTTCAGGTGTATATCAGTATGTAGTGTCTCTACTTTAAAGAGTCCTCTCCTGCTGATGTTCAGGTGTATATCAGTATGTAGTGTCTCTACTTTAAAGAGTCCTCTCCTGCTGATGTTCAGGTGTATATCAGTATGTAGTGTCTCTACTTTAAAGAGTCCTCTCCTGCTGATGTTCAGGTGTATATCAGTATGTAGTGTCTCTACTTTAAAGAGTCCTCTCCTGCTGATGTTCAGGTGTATATCAGTATGTAGTGTCTCTACTTTAAAGAGTCCTCTCCTGCTGATGTTCGGTTGCAAGTTAGTGTCTCTACTTTAAAGAGTCCTCTCCTGCTGATGTTCAGGTGTATATCAGTATGTAGTGTCTCTACTTTAAAGAGTCCTCTCCTGCTGATGTTCAGGTGTATATCAGTATGTAGTGTCTCTACTTTAAAGAGTCCTCTCCTGCTGATGTTCAGGTGTATATCAGTATGTAGTGTCTCTACTTTAAAGAGTCCTCTCCTGCTGATGTTCAGGTGTATATCAGTATGTAGTGTCTCTACTTTAAAGAGTCCTCTCCTGCTGATGTTCAGGTGTATATCAGTATGTAGTGTCTCTACTTTAAAGAGTCCTCTCCTGCTGATGTTCAGGTGTATATCAGTATGTAGTGTCTCTACTTTAAAGAGTCCTCTCCTGCTGATGTTCAGGTGTATATCAGTATGTAGTGTCTCTACTTTAAAGAGTCCCTCTCCTGCTGATGTTCAGGTGTATATCAGTATGTAGTGTCTCTACTTTAAAGAGTCCTCTCCTGCTGATGTTCAGGTGTATATCAGTATGTAGTGTCTCTACTTAAAGAGTCCTCTCCTGCTGATGTTCAGGTGTATATCAGTATGTAGTGTCTCTACTTTAAAGAGTCCTCTCCTGCTGATGTTCAGGTGTATATCAGTATGTAGTGTCTCTACTTTAAAGAGTCCTCTCCTGCTGATGTTCAGGTGTATATCAGTATGTAGTGTCTCTACTTTAAAGAGTCCTCTCCTGCTGATGTTCAGGTGTATATCAGTATGTAGTGTCTCTACTTTAAAGAGTCCTCTCCTGCTGATGTTCAGGTGTATATCAGTATGTAGTGTCTCTACTTTAAAGAGTCCTCTCCTGCTGATGTTCAGGTGTATATCAGTATGTAGTGTCTCTACTTTAAAGAGTCCTCTCCTGCTGATGTTCAGGTGTATATCAGTATGTAGTGTCTCTTCTACTTTAAAGAGTCCTCTCCTGCTGATGTTCAGGTGTATATCAGTATGTAGTGTCTCTACTTTTAAGAGTCCTCTCTCCTGCTGATGTTCAGGTGTATATCAGTATGTAGTGTCTCTACTTTAAAGAGTCCTCTCCTGCTGATGTTCAGGTGTATATCAGTATGTAGTTTCTCTCCTTTAAAGAGTCCTCTCCTGCTGATGTTCAGGTGTATATCAGTATGTAGGGTCTCTCTTTAAGAGTCCTCTATGCTGATGTTCAGGTGTATATCAG